CATTACAATTGTAAAATAAACTTATTTTGCCAAGCATAATATTTCTCATCGAATTAATTGTCGCATTTTGATCTAAACCATTTGGATGACGAGTTATTTCATATAAGTTTCGCACAACTACAGCAATCTCTTGAACTGCATGTCCATCTGCCTTCAATTATAATTTAATTAATTTAATTATCATCTTTTTTTTAATTAAAAATTAAGCTTAAAAATTTCTTACATTTCAAAAAATTTTTTTAATTTTTACAAAGAAAAAACAAAAATATTGCTTTTATCATTTAATTTTATCTGTTAAAAAAAGGTCTAAGATAGTATAGCCAAAATAGCATATTCCATTAGACGGAATGATTAGCCTGGCTACATATCTCAACAATCTTCAGCTATAATATCTTAATCAAAATTTGAATATGGAAAAATTTGACCATATATAATTTCTTTGGATTGAGTTTAATTCGAGTCTTTTGAAGAATATAAAATGTAGCTGATTTTATAAAAAATGCTCGTTCCTGCTCTGTTTCGATCACAAGTGGTATGGAAATTTGGGCATCATATCTGAAAAAAACATGTGATTAATTAAATACATAAAATTAATTAAATTCATTACTCCTAATGAGGCCTTCAAACCAATTCTAATTGATAAGAAATTTTTCAGAATTCTGAGTATCAGAAAGTATGAAAGAATTGAAAAGGAATGAATTACATTCCAAAATTTATATAAAAATACATTTTCTTTTTATTCATTTTTGATTGCTCTCAAAGAAAGTTAATAATATACAAATAAAGAAGCGAATGAAATTTTAAAAAAGATTTACCGATGCACTAACCATTCCAGTAATTCAGCCACTAATTTGAAATTTGGAGTTCGAAAATTTTCCATGGAAACAAGTCGTGGATAACCGAGAATTCGCAACTGTTCCACCATATCTATAAATAGAGCCATCAATTAATCTCTGCTTTATTTTCACTTATGCAAATGTTAACATTAGTAACAAAGATTCTTATTTGAAAAGCTTTTGAGTAACATTTTGAAATTAAATTTGAATCAAATTATTTCCTTCTCTTAGAATTTTAGAAGTTTTAGAATTCCAATTTGATTTTAGTTTAGAGAGATTTCACGTGAATAGAACAAAATAATATACAGGCGATACTTTTATGGCCCAGACCTTGTTCATCACTTAATCAAGCCAATGTATGTATTTCACATTAGATGGCCTTAATATTTGCATTTAATGACAAATATGAAAAGAATCGCAAAAAAAAAACAAACTTCTTAATTCTCTATACGACATTCTATCTTGGACCCAAGAGATAAAACTGAATAAACAGCAACTTCTAGTGCAGATTCTAGTGCTGTTGCCAAGGGAACTAGCTATAATACTTATCTTAAATGTGATTGAGTGATCGCTTTCGACGGAAACATTTTCCGCAGTGAGCCTAACTGGTTTTGTTCATTGGATTCTTTTACGCAATAATCTTCCGCGAGCGGAAATGGAATTCATCTCCACTCTTCCGTCTTTCTTTTTAAATTGCATTTTATTTATTATTTGGGAAGTATTTTGTTTACGATCTGCGGGAAAAACAAAATCAACGCAAATTCATTTTTTTGTACATATAAATGGTTAGAATATATTGATAAGTGATATGATAATTGCCAATTTCACAACTGAAATTTATATTTGAGTTTTAGCATAAGAAACGAGAATATTCAAGAGACCATCAAAGAGTTCGAAATGTTCAATCGTATTGCATCGTTGATTTCGTACACTTTTAATCTGCAAGAAAACATATGCAAACAGCATATGCATTATTCCATGCATATTTTATGACTGTATATGTTGATAATAATACCATAATTTTTTACTAAATTGATATTCTATTTTTGATTTCATATTTAAATTCAAATTTAATCTGACAATAGTATGCACTAGTCATTTAGATTTCTTCCGGCAACAGGAATGTAATTATGTTAAATACGATCTAAACATTAAATAACAGACTAAAGATTAGTTTGTTGAGGATAGTATAAAAGCTTTTTTTCAGTTCAACATCAGTTAGCCAACAATATAAACAATATCTAACTTGGTTGACATTTATTCGTGATCTCAGTGTCACCACATTTCAGTGATCAGGATTTTATTGCTAAATTAATGAAATGCTAAATTAACTGTATCAGAGAATCGAATCCGATTTTTGGTTTTCAGACGCTCAGCTTCCGTATCGAACACCGCCCAGACACCGGCACGATGTGCACCTGATGGACATACAACAAGCTGTGAGCATTCACGTGGTTGATTCTCTAATTGCTTGTGAACCTGAAATTCCTATATATATATACCACATAGCTAACAAAAATTCATATTAGCAATGTTCTAGAAATATGAATAAATCAAATAATATTCCTAGTAAGCTATTAATTAATGTAATTATAAATAAATTATTTACCAAACATTAATTTATAATTATACTAATTCTAATAATATTTAATTTAATCCCATAATTCTAATCGATATTTTCTTAATTTGCTTAATTTCGTATTTATTTATACTGTTATTTTGTAATATCATTATACTGGATAATTTGATAATTTGGACGAAAATAAAAAAAAAAGAAAAAGGAAAAAGAAACCGGATTACTTCATCTGTCCCTTTTCCTATCGGTTTCTGTGACAATAAAAAGCTTTTAAAATTTGTACAATTATTTTCTTTTTCAGCATTTAAAATTCAAACAAATTCACTAATTTTCAAAGGAAATGTTTATGCTTTTTATTGAAATTTTCAAATTTCAAAATGCTTTCAGAAAGATTTTCAAAAAAGATTTTTTTTATTTTAACATAAATGTACTTTGTTCTTCCACTAAACATAGTTAAAATATGATGACTACTAAAAATATGATTGCAATCGAAGAAGAATCGATGATTCATTACAAATTTTTAGTTTCTGGCTTAACTTAAAATTGTATTGGGATGAATTGAAATTAATGGGCCAAAAGTATGTGACATTGAATTGAGACTACTATACATTTAAATTTAAATATACTATTCTGTTGTCCATTCAAATTTGATTTAAATTATTATTTAATTAATTAACGCACCACTTTATGAAATTTAACAAAGTCATCTTTCGGGATAATCATATCATTGGTCCATGTGTTTAATGTTATCAGCTGATATTTTTGCTCAATTTTTCCCTCTTTCTCTTTTTCCTTCATTATAACCAACTTATAATGGCTATATTTCTCAGTGGATTCCTTCGATAAGGAAGGCTTCTCTCGTTTCTCATTTCGAACGCTTATTGTACCGTATTTTCGTGGTTTCGATGCCGTAATGTATCTATTAATTATGGTAGAAATATGGTAGAAATTAAAATCGTTTTCATTGCTCTCATAGATACTGTATGTATCGCATGATTTTCAAATTTATCATTTTCTATCAAATGATAATTGATATCGTAATTAGTATAGAAAGGGAAAGAAATGATAATTCATTATTCATTGTTAATAACCTACTGTTCATTATCATCTGGATCTAAATCCATGAGTACGATAATAACTTCTGGTTTGCATTGCATTACTAAACGGAAGAAATCATGCGCTGTTGTTTCATCAAATGGTGCCTGAGCCAATACATACTGTTTTGCCTGTATTGAAAAATGAGCCGAACTAGGACATTAAAAGCTAGGACATTAAAAGCCTTGTTCTACACATGTCATCTCATTTATCAATAAAAAAAAAAAATAGTATGCATAAGATAAAAGATTGATTATTTTTGCCTGTTTGCATCCATCAACATATGAGGCATGATAATAGTCAGGCTTTTCATTCAGTATAACTCGGGTTCTATCCAGGAGAAATATCTCTGAAGAATTTACTTCTATAATAATGTTCGTATTAAATTGTCGTTTCTTTTTCTTTTTATCTCATTGATTTAAAAAGTATTTGTTTTTAAATTTTACTTAATTTTCTTTTTTCTCAATCAATTGGTTAATATCTTTTAACAGAATTTTATTTTTTTTTCAAAAAAAAAAAATTAAAATTAAAAAAATTAGAAAATGAAAATTGGTAGTTATTGTTGTTTTTGTATAACATTTCAAATGAACATTTTCAAAATGGAAGAAAATATGAATCGGAAGATGAAACGGAAAAAAAAAATGAGAATTCTAATTGACGGTCTCAGAAACGGAATTTACATCTATTCCCTCCATATTTTTCTCTTCACTAATTAAAGTTAATTTTATCTTTTACTAAAACATTCTGCACAACAAAGTGTATGATATTTCAATATAAGCAAAAATTTGTCATCAAGGAAATGCGAAATTTTAATTCAATTAGAGAAAATTTAATACATTTCCGCCCAGCCTTACTTAATTATGCATAATTTATGCACTTATTTAGCATTACTCACCGTTTGGAAATTTATTTTTTGCTCTATTTTCAGCACTAAAAAATGCAAAAAATGTGGGTGAATCTTTTTCTAAATTTTGATACAGATCTGCGATCCCTTCACCAAGTTTTCGACCGTTAGCTTTTAACTAAAAATTAAAATATGTTCAAGTTTCATTTTTAATTCAATTAAAAATTTCATTACAAATTAGAATAAGTGTAAACATGTTGAATACATCATCATCAGTACCGGTATGTTTTTATAAATTTAGTCTAACATTACTAGAAATGATGCTATAAAGGTCAGAATATTATTGTTAAAGTGAGGTATTGTTTCGAATTTCAACAAATGAAATGGAATCATTTAATGAAATAGGCTGAAATAAATTGAACTTTAATGAAATCAAAATGATTTTATAATTTCAATCAATAGAGATAAAAAAAAAGAAATAATTGCTTAGATTCAATTTTATTATTCAAAAAAAAAAATTGAATAAATGGAAAGTAACCGGAAAGAGAAAATGAAAATTCTATTAAAATATGTTAAAAATTGATTTCTCGTTTCTTCGAACTTTCATTCCCGAGTTATGGGATAATGAATAAAATGGATGATACGTGAGATATGAGTGCCGCAGGCGTTAATATCATTTTTGTTTTTGCGCGACGCACTGAACGCATCGAAATGCGCATATTCTCAGCACTAATTGCTATGGCACCTTCCTTCGTTTGAATTGTGTCCACCATATCTTCAAAGTTGTGGACATACTAACATGTAAAGATACACACATACACATACAAACATACACACACATACATATTGAAATTGATTCTTACCCACTGAAAATAATATAAATTACATGAAAAGTACATGGAATCACACAATGGTCAGATTTGTTGTAAATGCAAAATGCGAACATGCACTGCATGCAGTCATGCAAAGTACAAACTTATTATAGTGCAGATTTTGAAAATACCGATTGGTGCAAGTTATATGTGAAAATATGACCACCGCACTACAACTCACTCTTTTTATTTCATATTTTCAAGTAATTTGAATATTTGAATAAATAATTAAAGGAAATAAGTGCTTGTAATTCAGGTAAGCAACACTTTTTTTTTTCTTGATTAGTTGCGCAATTTGAGGAACGTGAAAATGCAAACATTTCCGATTTACCGGAATGTTCACTCAATGTAACCAAACATTTTCTATCCTAAACCATATAAAGTATTTTTATTTATACAGTGTTTTTTCATTGGTTTAATCCTGCTTCTTATCTAGCAATACTTAAAGTTGACCTTTGACATTTGTTGCATTCACAATGCATACAAACAGTATCGTACTGATATGCATTACCTTCCCTTTGATCTCGAATATTCTCCTGACCTCTTACTGTTTGAACATTTCGGTGTTCTCATACCTTTATTGTGCTCTCTTGATCGTAAATTCTCCTTATTCCAGAAATTATTTAAGATCGATATTATTAAAGATATCACTTTTGTTAACATATATGTTCAGTATTGTTGATATCGTTTGTTGAAAGCAAGGAATCTTGAAGTACCGAGGTACCGAGGCACTGAGATTTATCGATTGAAGTTGATAATAACGATAGAACGATACTTTTCATGATGAGATATTTTAAGGATTATTTGATATGTACAAGGATGATGAAAATCGGGATGTTGAAGCACAGCCGAAACAAATGATTCGAAAACCGAAGATAGTGATTCGACGGATAGTTCCGGAAAAGTTTCCAAATACTTTAAATAGTATTGAAACCGCGGTATTTTTCAAATCTAGACTTATTATTATGATCAATTTAACAAATTCCAAATTACTGAGCTGGACAGAATTAAGAAATGCTGTAAAAATCTTTTGCAGGATCCAAAACAATGTTCGATAGAGAAGGAAGAATCTGACGATGATGAAATGGATGAAGCTTCTTGCGTTGAAACCGCATCTGATTGTACTGGTAAACTTGAATTTTATTATTTTAATTTGTTTATATCATAAAAGCTCATCAAATGTTCATTATATTCTTTACAAGAATGAATGATATCACTTTTGTTGACATATATGTTCAGTATTGTTGATATCATTTGTTGAAAGCAAGGAATCTTGAAATACCAAGGCACTGAGATTTACGGATTGAAGTTGATGATAACGATAGAACGATACTTTTGATATCCATTTATCATCATCAATTTATGTATGATGAGATATTTTAAGGATTATTTGATATGCACAAAGATGATGAAAATCAGGATGTTGAAGCACAGCCGAAACAAATGATTCGAAAACCGAGGATAGTAATTCGACGGATAGTTCCGAAAAAGTTTCCAAATACTTCACGCAGTATTGAAACCGCGGTATTTTTCAAATCTAGACGTATTATTATGATCAATTTAACAAATTCCAAATTACTAAACTAAACAGAATTAAGTAATGCAATAAAATTTCTTGCAGACTTCAGATTCTAAATCATCTACTATAGAGGAGGAGGAATCTGACGATGATGAAATGGATGAAGCTTCTCGCGTTAAAACCGCATCTGATTGTACTGGTAAACTTGAATTTTATTATTTTAATTTGTTTATATCATAAAAGCTCATCAAATGTTCATTATATTCTTTACAAAAATGAATTCCTCAGTATGAATCATGATAGTATTGAATTTGAAAGAGAAATTTAGATCTCTCAATTTCCATCGAAGTTTTTCAATCGCTAAGTCTCTTTGCTACTTTGAAACTACCGACTGATGCAAGTTTTATTTGAAAATATCATTACTACGCTACAAATTACTCTTTTTATTTCGTATTTTCAAATAACTTGAATGTTTTAGTACATATTTTTAAATGAAGTAAATATCCACAATCCAACTAGGCAACATATTTTTTGGCCATGTGAAAAATGGACAAGGGAAGTATTAAAAATCTCCTTGTCCATTTTTCAAACTTTAACCTCCAGCTAATGTAAATCGAATCAATGACATACTTGACAATGTTTTCTTCCTTTTTTATATCTTTCTCTAAGGTGGTACTTAATTACTCAGGTAGTAAACAATTGATCAAGTTTATTTCAGTTAAGGATAATGGTGACATTGAAAAGTTTTTAAAAATTCTTTTCCAGCTGGTTGTCGTCCTACTATCCGTTTTTTTTATTCGTTTTTTTTTTGTTAAAGAATATTAAATCAAACTTATAGCATGGTGACACATTCATATGTATACATGGAGACACATCATCCATAACACTATTACTTTCATTATGAGGACACGATGAATCAACCCCGAAGAGAAAAGACAACGTAATAAGAGCCGAGCTATACTTCGTCAATACCGCCTGAAGAGACATTTCGCTATACCTTTTGCAAATTAGGCCTGCCTATCCTGCATCAGCGCGCTTGTAACAAATCTGGATAGAACCCTTATTATAGTTTCGTTCGTGAAACTAATCATGATGATACATATACAACAAATCATTGTAATCAATGAATGGAATGGATTTTATATTTCAAAATTATTCTACGATTGTTTAATTTCTCAGAAACCTGGAATTTATCATTTCAGGATTACGGATAGGAAAGGATATTTCATTATCAACATTTTATAAAATTAAATAAGACTTGCAATCTGAATGACGATTGAAAGAGTCCAACCAGGTGAATATCAAAAATACTAATTTATGTATAAACACAGTAATTATTCACATTAATATTTTGAATACAAAATCAGACATAGCGCAAAATTCAATGGTATTACCCTACGTCTTCAGTGGATAAATAGGTGTATCAGCTTTCATCGGAAGTCGAAAACTGCTATTGTTTAATGGACAACTTCAACATCCGGTCCAATATCGAACACCTGAAAATATGAGCATATAAAGCACTCATTCCGGGATTACACTTCCGGAATTACATTGAAGAGTAGTAGCAGCAGTGGGTGGAAACAAACGGATGTCACAGAAGTGTTACTCAGTATATCAAACATAGATAATTAAACCTCATGCTGTTCAGCAAATGTAAAATGTTTTTCGGCCACTCGTGCGTCATCCTCGTCATTCACCTGCAATAAAACATCCGAGAGAGAGAGAGATGAGTATCATGAAAACGGAAGGTAATTTGAAGGAGGAATGAACACATAGGTATTCCGAGAGAAAGGGAGAGAGAGAGAGAGAGAGAGAAGATGAGTATCA